AAATCATCTTGCTGAGTGAAAAAAAAGTCAGCCCCCCCACCCCACACACACAAAAAAAAGAGCATATATTGTGTGATTCTGTTGCTATAAAATTTTAGAAGGGAACTACTCCATGGTTCCAGAAAGCACATCCCCAGGCTGTCTGGGGAGGGGAGGGTGGCCGGAGGGAAGACGCATGGAAATTTGAGGGATTTTTGATACATTCATTATTCTGATTATGTTGTTGGGTTTCACAGGTGTATACACACATCAAAACTTATTAAATTTTACACTTTAAATGTGCATAACGTTGAAATTCAATATACCTTAATAGAGCTTAAAAAAATAACTTAGGGGGTTGAGAAAATTCATAAAATTTTAAAGACGGCATCTAAATTTTCACACAGAAAGACAAGGTTATTGAAAACAGAGGTTAAGACACGTAAAAGAGAAGATCTAAGATACGTTATTTCAGGGTTCCAGAAAGAGAAGACAGAGAACAGGGTAGAGACAATGTTTGAAGAATGAAGGCAGAGAATTTTCTAGGTAGACATCAATCCACAAATCACAAAAGCCCAAGGGACTCCTAATGGAATAAATAATAGTAACATATACCTTTATACATCAAAGTAAAACAGTGGAACACCAAAGATTAAAAGGAGATCTTAAAAGTAGCCAGAGATAAGAGACCAGGGAGGAGTACACCAATAGCTGACTTCTCCGCCACAAAATGGAAGCCAAAAAACAGCGCATGAGATCTCTGACGTACGGAGAGCAAATGACTGTCAACCTAAGGTTGTACACCCAGAAAAAACACTTTTCAACAAGGATGAAATACATGGACTTTCAGACTAATGAGAACTGAGATTTTTCCGCTCTAAAGGAAGTTTTCAGAAATATGTTTCAGACAGAAGAACGGTCCCAGAAGATCTGATATGTGAGAATGAAGGGGCAAGACGTTTGCAATTATGTGGCTAAAACATATATAAATGGGCTTTTAAAAGACAGAGAATACATGTGGGAAAATATCTGCAGTGCGTGTAATGGCAAAGCACACGTACAAACCTAGGATATATACAGAATTCTACAAAGTCTGGATGCGCAAAGCATGAAAGTAAGCTAATAACAAACATCAGTAGGAATATGGGAGCAGAGCCAACCTTCACTTACACCTGGAGGAAATGTAAATTGACACACCCACTCTGGAGAGTGATTCAGCGATAACGCGTGAAGTTGAAAATGTGATTACCTTATAACCCAACAATTCCACTTTGGGGTGTATTCTTGGAAAACTTCTTGCATTGTGCTTAAGGAGGCATGCATACACATTCATTCACTGCAAAGTTAGCAAAAAAAAAAAAAAAAGATTTGGAAACCATTTAAATGCCCACAAATAGGGGAACGGACAATAAAATGTGTCATACTCGTGCAAGGGAGCACGCTACAGCACTTACAATGAATGAATTTGGTCCAACATGGCTGGATCTTCAAAAACACAACACTGAGTTATAAAGCGAACTGAAGAATGATGAATTTGGTATGATGTTTATACACACCCCCAAGGGGCGCTTGGGTGGCTCAGTCAATTAAGCATCTGACTTCAGCTCAGGTCATGGTCTTGTAGTTCATGAGTTCGAGCCCCGCGTCGGGCTCTGGGCTGACAGCTCAGAGTCTGGAGCCTGCTTCCGATTCTGTGTCTCCCTCTCTCTCTGCCCCTCCCCCGCTCATGCTCTGTCTCTGTCTCAGAAATAAACATTAAAAAAATTTTTTTAAATAAACATTAAAAAAATATAAAGACACAAAACAATCGCATGTATTATTAGTGTATACACCGATTTGTAAAGTATGAAGACACAGATCGAAACAATCAGTGCCAAATATGTAAACCTACATAATTATCTTGTTTTGTTTCATTTTACACAATATATAGTATACAAACTAATATTTTATTTTTTAGAGGCTCAGAAACAAATATGACAAAATATTAATATTTGTTAATTCTGGACCATTACCTAGCAGTCTGTTATATATTTTTCTGAACTTTTCTGCATTTTCAAATGTTTTAAAAAAAAAAAAAAAAAGGAGTAAAAGAGAACAGATACTCTGCGACACGAATTCCACCATTTGCTGTGACCTAGGGCCAATGGTGAATCCCTGCTACGGTGTTTCGTTTTCTGGTGAAACATAAGACAACGGAAGTAAAATGGGAGTGTGAATGAGAAAACAGACCCCTTTCCTGAGAACCCGCGAGCGGACGAACGACAGACATTCGCGTACACCCACGTACGTGAGCGGGTAGACACGTACGTCCACGGATGCATACGTGCATATATACGGTCATACACATGTGGCTGGACAGACAGATGGACAGGTGGACGGTGTGGAATAATGACCCCACCCTAAAAGATGCCCATATGCTAATCCCCAGAGCTGTGACTAGGTTACCTTCCGTGGGTAAAAGGGACTTTGTGAATGTGATTAAGGGCACAGACCCCATGATGACGAGAACGTCCTGGATTAGCCAGGTAAACCAAGCCTAACCACGTGAGTCCTTAAAAATGAAAGAGAGGCAGAAGGTCAGAGAAATGAAGCTGGACAGGAAGGAGCAGGTGCCTGAAGGGTGAAAAGGGACCCAGCCCGCCCTTGCCGGTTCAGGACACACACGAGGGGCCACCAGCCACGGAGCAAAATTCTGCCAACAACGCAAATGAGTAGGAAGCCCATCCTCCACGGGAGCCTCCAGAAGGAACGCGGCCCTGCTGGCACCTTGATCTTGTCAGGTGACCCCTTAATGAGCTCTGACCTACAGAACTTTGAAATAATACACTGGGGTTGTTTAAAAACGCATCTACGTTAAACTGGTGGTTTGTTACAGCAGCAACAGTGATAGACGGTAGCCAGGTAGGTGGGTAGGCAGACAGCCCAAGCAACCCTTCATCAAATTAGTTTTTCCGTTTGGTTACCTGCAAAGTAAGTGTATGCAAATCCTATGTTACTATTAACTTCTGTTACTAATTCGCCCTAAGTTACTATGCGAGAGATGGACAGATTTCAACACATTGAAGACAAAACACGAGCTCTGTGCATGGCTTCCAGAACAGTGAGCTGAAGCACCTCTAGGCACCACCTTTCAGCATTTTCCCCGCACCAGCACTGAGAGCGAGCGCCGATCCATGTCTCTGAAGCTGGACCAAATACGAAAGAGAAGCAGCACATTTCTCCAAAAAGCTCTATCATCTAACTGTGCCACCCACCACCAGAAAATGGATTGAGTTTGACACCTCATGCAAGTCAAACGAATTGGTCATCTCCTTTATCAAATCTTTGCAGGCCAAGTGCCATTGAACCAGTGGCTTCATAAGAAACTGCCTTTAGAAGCAACTTTCTTAGAAGGCCAGCATCATATTCCCCTCCGAACACCTCCCCAGACATGTGTGTCCTTCACTAAGAGGACCGTTCATCATGAATGATCTGATGCAAGGCACTGGGTCAGAAAACTCAACTGGTTGCAACTCTAATTCCATTAGCTGGGTGAGCTGGGGAAAGCTGGGCCTGGCAGACACAGCCTGGGGTGATCCTGTAGGTCACGCCTTTGTGTAATCCTCTCCTCTTGAGGATTTGCTGATGCAATTAAAGTTTCTAATCAAAAGCCAGATTATCCTGGGTGGGCCTGACCTAATCAGGCAAGCCCTTCAGAAGCTCTAGAAGTCAGAGACAAGGCAGCAGAGGCACATTCTGTCTCCATTGCTGGTCTTTAAGAAACAAGCTACCACAAGGGGCACCTGGGTGGCTGAGCCAGTTAAGCATCTCTTAGTTTCAGCTCAGGTCATGATCTCACGGTTTGTGAGTTCGAGCCCCGCATTGGGCTCTGT